AGAGAGAGAGAGAGAGAGAGAGAGAGAGAGAGAGAGAGAGAGAGAGAGAGAGAGAGAGAGAGAGAGAGAGAAAGAAAGAGAGAGAGAAAAAAAAAAGAATTGTATTTGATAATTTTGTTGTAAGAATAACTCTTAAGATTTGCATGTTTTTCCAAATCTTAAACTGATATTTTTAAAAGTATAGTCTTATAAACTTGGATTACAAATAAATAAGAAATACACTCCATCGAGGACCGAAGCAGGACAGATTTATGGTTTTATTAATAAGTTGCCAGATTTCTTGTAATTCTGTCATTTTGTTAGAAAGATGTAGGCCTGTATCCTTACCCATCTTTCCATGTTCGTGCTCCACAACCAAGGTTAAAGATATAACCCTATAATTCCGATTCAAATAACAATGACAGCGAAATAAAAAATACAGTTTTTTAAAGATCTGAGAAGAACTTGTAGTGGTCGGGGGAGAAAAACATGTAGTGCTCGAGGTGGAATTTCTATCTTAGAATAGAAACACTTGAAGGACGTGTCTTTCTCATTTTTTCTTGTTGCTTACCTGGATCTAGGGATGTGGAACTGTATTTGTAACCTTGCTGACTTGTTTCGTTCGTGTCATTTGCAAAGGCTAATGTAGGCCTATATCATCCATCTTCTTTGCATCGTCCTCCTCCTCAGCCAAGGTTACAGACAGAGCCCTGGAATCTTGAGTCCAGGCAAGAACGACAGCAAAAAGGTCCTCTTCCTTGCGTGGATGTAGGGATTGAGGACTGTGTTTGTAACCTGCCTGATATGTTTTATTTAATCGTTTTCTAGGAGGAATGTTTTGCCTGTATCCTCCGGCTCCTCCATGCCTCATCTTCCTCCTTGCGATGTTCTTCCTTCCTCCTCCTCACACATACACACACAACCTTGCCATGTTATCTTCTTACTCCTCCTCTTCCCCTCTCCTTTTGCTACTAGTCCAGCTCCTTACCATCTTACTCCTCCCTCCCCTTTCCTTCTCCTACTTGTCATCTTCTTCTTCTTGCCATCTTCTCCTCCTTCGCACATTCCCCGCGCCTTCTCCCTCCCTTCCGTCCCGCGTTCCATCCCATCTGCGTCCACGCCTTCTCCCTCCTTTCCGTCCCGCGTTTCATCCCATTTTCGACCCCGCCTTCTTCCCCCTAAGGTTCTTCTTCCCCGAATCCCCCACCCCTCGCCTTCCCCTGTTCCTTCCCCCCC